GAGATTACAGCTTTCAAAATACAGTTTGGCTGGCAAGATGGAATTTGATGTAAATGACTACATTTTATCAGAGGGAAGGGAAATAAAGTTGCACGATAATGTTAGCAACTAATTAGCAATAAATTAGGATGATATAAATCTTACGTTCCAGCTGAAAAATATAACTGCCAGAGCCCAAGCACCTTTGCGTTTAGTTTGAACCCTAAACTAAATGCCGATTCGTCTTGAATGGAAATCAGGATTTATGTAAAATTATAGTTTCAATGATGGCGACTAGTCAAAAGATCAACAAAAAAGTAACGTCGGTCGCCTCTAAATTCAAATACGAAGATAATCCTTTTGAGCCGAAATATCGGGTCACAAGTACCACAAATAGAAGCCAAAACACAGTCATTAAGGTATGGCTGACTGCCAACAATTTAACGTGAGCCGTACATAAATGTATGGACTAACAGGTCTATCCAGAGGTGAATAAAACAAGAACCTACGAGTAATCTCAGAGGCATTACGATTTAATTTGAATGAAAAATAGGGTAACGAAAAGAAAATGTAGTCTAAAGAGACTTAGCCAATATAATTTATCTAGTCATAAAGGAGTATACTTTACAGTTGTCTCCTTGTGAATGTTTGAGAAAAGTTCGATAGTTGCCTGGCAACGATATAATGTCAATAGTTTTGCCTATAGAAAGCTACGAGAGTAACAGAACAGAGGAGGTTAAGTAGAACTGTTATGAGGCTATGTAAGCGTTGGTAGGCAGCATTCTTAAAGGCCAATTTAGATGTGATTCTAGCACAACCGAATCAAAATGGTAGGAAAGTGTCTGAAACTCGATATTAAGAAGGATGAGACACAATAGAATTCGGATCAATAGCTGCGTATTTTCTACCCTCAAATAAAGAAGACAAAATAATGAACTAAGCAATCATAAGGTCTGCCTGTCCCTGTTACTCAAGTGGCTAGAAGCCTGACTTTGTAGCTGGTGACAGCATAGACCTAGTAGTCGACATCTAATGGATTTTACAAGTGAATGGAGGAGCAAGCAGAAATTAGCAATTAGATGAAAGCGTAGATGATACAGCTAGGATGTATAAGGCACTAGCTCAACGTACACTAAGTGTTCATATGCATCCATTAGTAACTGTAAAAAGGTGGTACAAAAGGGCTTGGTTTTACTAATTTAGTGTTATTTCAGCAAATCACTTGCTTAAGTCATATTCCAGAGAAACAGCCTTTCAATAAGCTCTTGAAGCTTTTTAGTTGAATATGGCATAATGTCAAACACAAAAAAAACAGGAAAGAAGGCAACCAAAAGGAAACTTATGAAAGGTTGTTTCAGAAGCCTGAAGCTTCTAGCAACGTAGTCTTTAATGGAGATGTCAGGATCAATAACTGTAAGGCAAAGGCCTAGGGAAAACGTCTGTATTTCATATGACAAGAAAATTAATTTGTTATTCACAAAACGTAAAAGCTAAGGAAAATCGATTCATTAAGTTGTGCATAGAATACTAAGGTCAAACAGCGACAAAAGTATCTATTTCTTTAAGCCATTAAACCATGGCACTTACGTATTAAGTTCATTAGAGTCTTACATGAAAAATTTTAATCTACTCCAAGAATGAGCGAAATTCGTAATTAATTGGCAGCCTTCTCGCTAATAATAGCCGATATAAACTTTTCGCTGCATAAATGTGGCGGAGAGGTAGATGGTAAGAATGAGAAAGTTATGCTGTTGAGTGACATATTGTAGAATTGAGATTAAGTTAAGAAATACAACGATAATTTAGCAAGGTTGACACTCCTTTCTCTCTATCTCTTATATATATATATATTATAGTCAAGATGTAAACTGCATTTTGGATATATTCAATTAATATATATATTCATTTGTAGCTATTATGAGTGCAGATTTGTATATAACAAAGAAATCCTAATAAAATGGTGAAGAAATATATTTATTTAAAATAGGTAATTATTTCTCAGCTAATGTCTGCCTATGCTAGGCACACAAACAAATAGGGCAATATCTCCTTAGATGAAGTGAAAAAAGAGACATTTGGTTCAAGGATATTTGAGAGGGTGAAATAATGGGATTAGGATTACATAAGGGTAAAAAAAACGAATGTGAACTCAGTAATTAGGAAAATAGAAATTATGGAAGCATATCTTTCTGAACAAAAAGGTGCCTTTATGGCAAATTCAAATAGCAGAAAATGTGAGATCGTCTCAAAAGCATGTGTATGCTAAGGCAGAATAATGAGGCCAGTGTATGGAAAAGAGGGGCAGCAGGATTAGCAATACTTACTTGGCGAACCTGCCATTAAGAATTTTCGTAGCATAGACGATGGAAGTAAAGATTGGAGGACGTGAGGATCAGGGCATTAAAACCACAATTTTAAAGAGAGTATCCAAATTGTTATAATAGGTAAGTCCGAGAGTAAAGATTAAACGCCAAAGGAAATGGTCGGATATGTGTACATGGCGTAGAGAATGGTAAATGATAATCCGAGATACTAAGAGCAGTCTGCCAAGGTGATAAGACCGGCTGCATAACGAACAGATGGAGTCGTAGAGGTTGGGCAAAGAGGTGACCTATCCAGAAAGAAAGACATGAACAAGTGATATGAAGTGGTCCTCGTGCTGGCAAAGTGTATTCAAGGGACGTGAAAGTTGAACTGAGACGGCTGATTGAGCAGAGCAGGTGCAAGCAGGAGAGGCAAAAAATGTAGACTATAGCAGAAGAGAACAGAACAGAAATAAGATTTTAGGATCACACGCTGCTCTTTAGTGCGTATATGAACAACAACTATAGAGCCAGTGGGATGTATCTAATGAGAGAAGGACTGAAACTGACGATATAGCTATGGACAATGGTAGGAAAAGTTGAGGCATATGCACATCTAACTATGAGAACTGGAACAAAGTCTGAGGTATATAAATGGCCAAAAATATAAGCCGGGAATCATTGTCCTTGCAATGCTTGAACAAGCCCTATAACTAGATGTATATAAACTATCCTACTCAATATTA